GAAGTTCCTTCTTGTCCTAGATGATGTGTGGAACAAAGACTACACAAAGTGGGAACCATTAAAGCTAGCTTTACAAAATGGGGCTGTGGGTAGTAGAATATTGGTGACCACAAGAAAGGAGGATGTTGCGAGGATGATGGGAGCATCCACTGATATGGTCAATTTGGAGGTGTTTAGTGAAGAAAATTGTAGGGCATTGTTCTATCACATTGCACTGGCTGATAGAGAAAAAAATGAGTTTAAAGGGTTAGAATCTATTGGTAAAGAAATTGTCAAAAAGTGTAAGGGCCTGCCCCTTGTTGCAAAGACATTGGGTGGTCTCATGCGCTACAAGAAAAAGAGGAAAGAATGGGAAGACGTTTTGAATAGTAAGATATAGATGTGGTTGAGGAACAAGTTTTCCAACCATTGTTACTAAGTTATTATGATTTGGCCCCGGCAATTAAACGTTGTCTTTTGTATTGTGTTATTTTCCCAAAAGATTATAACATTGTCAAAGATGAGTTGATTGAGTTGTGGATGTCACAAAATTATCTTAATTCAATCGGAAACAAAGAAAAAGAAGCATTAGGCGAAATGTACTTTGATAACTTAGTAATGCGCTCTTTCTTTCAAGAATTTGAGAAAGATGATCTTGGAAATATAACGGGGTGCAAGATGCATGATGTTGTGCATGACTTTCTACAATTTCTAACTAAGAATGAATGCTTAGTTTTGGAGGCTGAGGGTGGTAATAATAAGAGAATAATGGAGTTTGATGGATATAAGAAGGTTCGTCATTTGACATTAATGTTTGCACCCGAAGATCCACTAATTCCGATTTCCTTGTGCAACTGCAAGAATTTACGGACTCTTGCAACTTTTGATTCAAAGATTACTAGTTTTGGTCGAGAGTTAATTTCACAAGTAAAATGCCTTAGAACGTTGAATTTGAGTCGTAACTCCTTGAAAGAAGTTCTAAATGAGGTTGGAGAATTGGCACATTTGAGGTATTTTGATCTATCTTATAATGTTGATTTGATTAAATTGCCTGACACCATGTGTAATTTAATCAATATGCAAACCCTGAGACTCATTGGGTGCAGTGGACTTAAGAGATTACCTGAAGCCATGGGAAAGCTAATTAATTTGCAGCATCTTTATGTTATGGGTTGTCTTCGTCTAGAGTTGCCCAAGGGGATTGCAAGGTTAACAAGTCTACGAAAGCTAGATGTAGTTTACATTTATGAAGTTCGCATCCTTGACGTTGATAACAACAAGGAAGCATTATTCGAGTTAAGTGATTTGAGAAACATGGACCAGCTTCGTGGGAGTTTCCGAATTGAATTTCTGGAAAATCTGAAGGACGCGAGGCAGGCCGAGAAGAGGCAGGCCGAGAAAGCGCACTTGGTGAACAAAAATTGCCTTGTCAGTCTGGAATTCGCGTTCCCCTTAGCTAAAACAGCGAATCACGTCGAGGAAGAAACAGTGAATGCCTTACAACCACATCCAAATCTGGAATCCTTATCTATTGAATTCTACAGTGGCACCACACTCCGGCCCCATTGGATGACGTCGTTAAACAAATTGAGAAGCCTTACCCTCAAATGTTGCCCTTTTGTTGAGTTTGTGCCTCCTTTGGGGAGATTGGAGTCCCTTGAAATACTGAAGATAGAAGAGTGTCGGAGCTTGAAAAAGGTAGGAGTTGAGTTTTTGGGAATAGATGGAACAATAGAAACACAAACATCATCGTCGTCATCACTTATTTTATTCCCAAGTTTGAAAAGACTTGAATTCGAGTATATGCCCATGTGGGAAGAGTGGGAAGGAATGACAGGGTGGAGTGAAGAAGAGGATTCTCAGAAGACAATTACAATAATGCCCTGCCTTTCTTCCTTACAAATTATTTATTGCAAAGTGCTTAAAACACTGCCAAACTTCCTACGAAATACACCACTGAAGGAGTTGGTCATCGACTACTCTCCAACACTTGCACAAGGTTTCCGAAAAGGCAGAGGAGAGTGGCCCAAGATTTCTCACATCCCAAACATCAAAGTTTATGAAGAATTTGTACAAAAAGACGGAGTTTACCAAACTGATGATGATGAGACGCCAAGTGCCACTTCCACCTCTTCTTCTGGTAATGTCTATTAAGATTTCATTTTGTTAATGTCTATCTATATTATTCATTTATCATCACAAATTTTCTTCTTTTCTTTATGTTGTTTTTTCTTTGGGAAATTCCATGTCTATTTATTCGAATACGAAAGAACAAGAACAAACTGATGATGAATCCCTACTGGAGGAGGACCATGCTGCTTCCACCTCTTCTGGTATTAAGATTTCTTTTTGTTAATGTCTATTTATATTATTCAATATTTTTGCCAATATTTATATTATTCATTTATCATCACAAATTTTCTTCTTTTCTTTATGTTTGTTTTTTCTTTGGGAAAATTCCATGTCTATTTATTCAAATACCAAACTGATGATAAAAAATAAAAATAAAAACTCACATGTGGTGGGTGTAAAGTCAAGACAAATATAAAGTGGTTGGAGAATGTTTTTATTTTTTTATATTTTGCAAATATTTTTTAAGATGATATATATATTTAATGGTTTGAAATTCATTGGGTTATGTAGGTATTAAAAAATTTCTCTAAAGTTGTCTCGGACTATAAATCCTCGATGTGCCGACGACCCCCATTTTCAAAATCCAGGTACGTACTCTACTGCTTATATGATGAATGTTATGCAGAAATTATATCTATTCTATCAACACTTATTGAAGCTGAAGAAGGTTTTGATTTTCTTATATGTCAGCAGTTGAAGGTATTTTCTAGCATGCAAAGAGGGAAGTCTCATTTGAATTCACACTTTGAAGATAATCTTGTCGGAAGTGCGTATGTTATATAGTATGGAAAATAATTATAATATCCGATATGTATGTATAGCCAATAATTCAATCATGAACTCTGTTGAGATGTTTTATTATATTATGATCTCTGTTGAGATGTTGTTATATATCACTCTAATCTGAAATATCAGATAATATGTACAGTATACCCAATAATTCAATAATCAACTCTGTTGAGATGTTATATTATATTATGATCTCCGTTGAGATGTTATATATCACTCTGATGTATGATCTGAAATATCATATAATATGTACTGTATAGCCAATAATTCAATCATAAACTCTTGATGGTCTAAACTACTCTAATCTTTGAGGAGAGGAATCGAACTCGGGCGCAAAGAGGCTGACACATTGCTCATGGTCGACTGGCTACATCTGGCTAATGCTACTGGCTTTTATATCTGATTTTCATGTAATATGGGAATTTCTTATCTCAGCAGCTGAAGATTTTCACGGCAGTTGAATTTTCTTTCAAGTAGACCAAATGGATGTTACAGGAAGTGCTTTCAAATGGATGTGGAAGAAATCATTGGAATTCTTGTAGCAGGTCCACAAAATTGATGAAATACAGGGCTCATAAAGTGAGTGAAACTTGTCACGAGGGTTTTCCTATCCTAGCTTTGCCCCTCTGCATGGCTCTGCTTGATCAAAGATAAAATGGCTACTATAGATTTTAAAATATAAAGCAGAAATATCTTTTTAGCCGAAATGGCTACAATAGGCTAAAAAAGTCAAACAATATGGTAGAATATTTTCAGATATATT